TAAAAACTGTTTCAATACTACAAGTAGAAAAGCAGAATTCAAATTGGAAGTATTTTTATTTTTTTACAATTTTCACATTACACAGGCGACAGTATTTTTCGGACATTGCAGAAGCAATGCTAATAGTTTATGGCAGCACCCTTTTTTTCAATGACTTCTATCAGTCTATCTTCATAATGTTCGTACATATTGATAATAACGTATTTCGAGTTTCTAGCAGTCTATTTTTAGCATCTTGTATGCGCTGCCTCAGTTCAGCCTCTCTGGTTATTTCTGGCCCGTCGTAAACAAGCTCTGCAAGCATTTCCCATATGTTTTCAATTAAATTTAAGTCTGGACTTCTTGCAGACCATTCCAGAATAGTTATATTTGCTTCACACATCCAATTTTTCACTGATTTTGCCACATGGATGCTGCATTTATCTTGCTGCAAAATAAAATTACTTCCCATTTCTTTTTCTATGAGTGGTAGGGCTCTCTTTTCCAAAAGTTCTCTGTAGCTCAAGCTATTTTGACGTCCTTTTAATCACTCGAGCCACAAACTTCCATTCAGAAATACCATACCCCAAACCATGACTCCTCCTCCTCCCATCTGTCTCTTGTTGAGAATAACAGGTTCACCTTTTCTCGATCATGTACACCACCCGGCAGGTCCATCGAACTTAAAACGTTTTTCATCAGTAAATATCACTTTCTTGAAGTCGACATGGTTTGTTATCCATCTTTTGGCGCTTCCCAGCCTTGCCTCCTTGTGTTTTCTCGTTAGTGTAATTCTTTTCTTGATTTTAGCATACTTAAGTCCAATTTCGTGTAGCTTTCTTTGTACAGTTCGAACACTGACGTCAAGTTCACACTTCTCCTTTACTTTCTTCGCTGTCACCTTTTCTCCAGATGATAACAACCTCGTAACTCTCCTCTTCATTCTTCTTTCTGTTATCTTGGAAATTGTTTTTTTCCGTCCTCTTCTTCTTCTTCCTCTCATAATCTGTACTTAGCATGTCTTCAACTGTTGACTTCGGTAGCTTCATCTCAGCAGCGATCTTTCGGATGCTGAGCCCATCTTCTCTCTTCTTTTGGACCAAACTGATGACTTCTTTTGAATGCATTCTTCTTCAGGATTTTAATACGATTTCGCAGTGAATGGTAAAGATACTCAAATGTAATGGTCAGGGTACAATTTACCTGCAGAAAATTTGCATATTGTAGACGTTCGACGACTAAATCATTAAAAAACCCGGAATTTGTGTCATGTCCGAAAAATAGTGTCGCCTAAGTTGAAGTAAAAATAAAGAAAACATGAAACCAAAGACAAACCCATCAATCAATGTTCATACCATTAATGGACAGTTACTGCTGAACTACCTACTCATCAACACAAAAGCTCTCGGCAGCAAAAAACACCTTTAAGCACACTTTTCAAAGTGTCCCCAAAATAGTGTCGGCCCCCTGTACCTCTTAATTGCTGTTGTTCCCAGGTCCACCCTGACTGGGGGTGGTAGCACCTATTAGGGTCCCAGCTATGGGAAAATAGTGGACTCCCAAACAGAAATCAAAACACTCGGAAACTTTAAAAATACTTATTTATATTTTTTTAAAATTACTAACAATACCTATTTATAATAAAATTGCCAACAATACAATTTTAATGCAAAATGACCAACAATACATTTTATAGCAAAATGACCAACAATACATTTTATCTATAGGTGAAGCCATAAAATTGCATTCAAAATACTTACATTTCAGTATTAAATAACCCATAGAGATGTTGATATGTCGCTAAACAAAATCGGTCAATCAACCAACCAAACCATATGAAAGAACTATTTCATGACATTGCGTTATATAATATTCTATTATTTCTTAAAGAAATCAAACTGTATTCAAAAAGATAACTTCAACGAACCTACAACATAAAACTCACATATCGCTGCATCTAGTAATTATGTCCACATAAATATGTATATGCACAAAAGCTGAGTATCATCTACCATGTATTCAGTTGTGAAAGCAGAATAACATATATTTTATTACTTCAAACTCCCAAGAAAATTAAATTTCGCCATATAATGACGCATAAGGTGTTGATATATCGTTAATCAATCAAATCAAATTGATTCTCTGTAACCCGCCCCTTGCGTCTTAGCGACTTTATCGCCTCGCTTAAAAACTTTTATCAACATACGTTTTGTACTATCGTAGTATATACTGAAGGGAAAAAAACGAAAACAATTGTTCACAAAATACTCAAAGTATTTAATTCGTTAAAATTTTAAAAATTAAATGCAATGTTAATCATCATCTTCTGTTTTCTTAATTCGTCTTCTTTTATCGTCTCCTCAAATTCATAGTAGTTTTTTTTTTTCATATTCCTTAACAAACAGTAATCTCTTGCATCCTAGTGGCTTTATTGCCTTTGATCTATAAAAATTTAAATGCAATATCAGTGTCACGTCTTGCGTCTTTATTGCCTTGCTTGGACTGAAATGATTAAAAAAAATCCATTGCATGAGATTTTACATTATATGCAGGTATGAATCTTCTACAAGCAAACTCATGCTCATGGGAGGCTTCTTTGTTGAAATTGGCAGCCAGGATCTCTTTGTTAAAAGAATATACTTGCAAAACGTATTTAAAACAAACGAGGAACGAATAACTATTTTTATAAGCCAGACACATGGCCAAATCATAATAAACATGAATAAAGACAGTTTAAAACATTTGCCAGTGAAATAATTACTTACAAATACCTGTTCTTTGCTAATCCTTTCTTTCATTACAATATGCATCACAAGTAAAATCTTTCTGATACGCAGTAGAATATTGAAACACCGAATACAGGGATATGATGATTATCGTAGATATGACTGGATATGAAGAACCATAAACTGGGAACAATGCAAAAAATTATCGCACTACAAAAATAATTTAAACGAAAGCGTTGATAACTGACAAGTGTTTGATATCTTAACTCAAGTTGAAATTAGGATAATGGCTCGAAATGAGAAATCAGAGAAGCGAGTTCGAATTTCAGTCGGGTCCGTTACATTCACTTAAGTGCAAATGTTCTTGGGAACGCTATGAATCTATCCCCCCCCCGCCTACACCATCTCTGCGTTGAATAGAAGGACAGAGTTGGTCCTATAGCCATGGTTGAAAACCACGCTACTGCGGGAAGAAATGTCAGCTTACTGCAGGAATATCTTCTACCGAGTCGGTCAATATTTGTCGAGGAAAGAATTTAATTTGATTGATACGGTTTCTAAGGCTTCTCACCCCTTTGTTGGTTATTTAAAGCCAGAAAATATTTTTAGGCTGAAAGAATTTTTTTTCAGATAATAATTCAGTGATACAAGTTAAACTAATTAACCCATAGCTGGGGAAAGAAGCGATGGATTTATACAGTCAGAATTTAATAAACGAACAAGAAATTATGATGTGGCTATAAAGTGGGGGATCAATTCTATATAACAATCAATATATAAAGTGATCATCCACTTTGTGGTCACGGTATTTTCTCTACATTTATAATCCCGAGAATGTAAATAAACCTAAAAGACATGCTTGTCTAGCTAATTTCATCGATTGATTTGTTTTTTACGGCTTATCAACCATTTGCAGGTTATTTAAAGTATTGTAAGAATTTTTTTTTTATAGTAATGATTTAGTCTTATTAATTATGCCATGGGTGGGGTGCAGAAGAGATGGATTCATGCCTTTCTCAAGAATATCAATAAGTGAACATAACGAATCCAAATGGAATCAGAATTCGGCTCTCTGATTTCTAATTCGCAGACTTTATGCCAACCGCAAATCCAAGCTTACAGAACCTGGCATTCCCAATCAGCCATACTTCTAGATACCGACCAGGCTGGACGTACAATCACCGAAGTTAAGAAACTTCGAGCCTGATTTAGTATCTAGACGGCTGACTGCTAAGCAATACCGGGTGCTGTAAGCTTGGATTTGCGGTTGGCATAAAGTCTGCGAATTAGAAATCAAAGAGCCGAATTCTGATTCCATTTGGATTTGTTATGTTCACTTAGAGATACCCTTGAGAAAGGCATGAATCCATCTCTTCTGATGACGGATAACAGTTTGGGAATTAGAAATCGGAGATCCAAGTTTCAATTCCGGTCAAAAAGATAGTTTTATTATATAAGAAATAACGAAGCCACTCAAACATATCTTACATCAGTATATAGCTATACATCGTAGGTTCACATCCCTACTTATCAACATAGTCTTACTAATTAACCCGTAGGTAGGGGGAGAAGTGAATTCATACCTAATCAGAACTTGATAAAGAAACAAGAAATTATGATGTGGCTATAAAATGGAGGATCATTTCTGTATTACACTCAATATATAAAGTGATCATCTACTTTGTGTTCACGGTATTTTCTATGCATTTATAATCAAGAGAATGCAAATAAACCTAAAAGACATGCCTGTGTAACAAATTATCATGTGGCTATAAAATGGGGGATCAATTCTGTATTACATTCAATATATAAAGTGATCATCCACTTTATGGTCACGGTATTTTCGATACATTTATAATCCAGAGAATTAAATAAACCTAAAAGACACGCCACAAGAAATTATAATGTGGATATAAAGCGGGTTGATCAATATATAAACTGATCTCCACTTTGTGACAACGATAGTTTATATACATATATATTCCAGAGAAATCTAAAAGACATTCCTATGTAGCTAATAATTATTTGATTGTTTCATTCATTCATTCGTTTGCTAAGGGGCTTATCAACCCTTTTATTTAAAGCCAGAAAAACATTTTTAGATTGATATAATTTTTTTACATAATCATTTAGTGATACAAAACCTCAAGCTCAGGGGAGATGATGCAGATTCGTACCTTTCCCAAGGGTGTTAGTGTGTAAGTCAATGTAACGAACCCAACTGGAATTGGAACTCAGCTCTCTTATTAAAAAAAAAAAAGGATACCGAGCCATTATCCAAGCAACGCATCCAAACTTACAGCACCTGATATTCCGAAGCAGTCACCCATCAGTACTGACCGGGATAGAAGTTGCTTAACTTCGGTGATCGTATGGGAAGCGATGTTTCAATGTGATGTGTCAGTAAGGGGAGAAAGAAAACTTGAATTTGAAAAGCAAGAGAGGGGTGTGGAAAAAGCAATTAAATTGCGCTACCTTTTAAAATTATTGATGTGCGGTAGTGTAATGATTAGGAACTCAGAAAGAGAAAATCGTATGCCGAGTTCGAATTCCAGCCAAATTCCTTACGTTCACTTTCGAACAAATACTATTTAGAAACTTAGCAACTTAGTGTTGTGGACCCGGAAGAGGTCCAAAAGAAAACTCGAACTCAGCAATTCAGTGAAAACATATTATTAAAAGAAAAGAACGAATACAGAAGTGTTGCACGTCCGTCTGACGGCTAAGTAGAGTAGTCAACTCGTTCGCAATATTTAACGATCCCCACACGAGGAATATATGTGGCACAAGGCCGGGTTTAATGTGGGTTTCTCCGAGCCCGTAGGCTCGGCCAAAAAATATACCCTTTGAACGCGCCTAGACGGGTTCAAGGCCTGTCTACCTCCCCGGACGAAATTTTGCCCTTCGGCAAAGATTCGTCCGGGTTCCTCTCTGCCAAAGCAGAGAGTTCGACTGAAGTCGCACACGTAGTTAACCATAGTCAACTCGTTCGCTCGTCTACAGTCCTCTTGCGAGGCATAATATAGTCACAGACGAGTCTATTTTGTCCATGAAGGTAGGTCCACATAACACTTAGCCACCTGCACAATTATGGCTTAAATAAAGCCCCTCAGGAAACTCTGGATTGTAAAACCGTCAAGAAGAGGGATGTGCTTCGTCAGGTTGACTTGCTATAGACACACCATTGTTGCTATCTGTGCAGTACATTTGGCGCCCTTATAGACCTAAAGAGTTACAAGAATTTTGAAGTGACTTAACCCTTTAGAAAGTTTCCAAATATCCATGAAGATTTGCTGCCTTTTGCCTACCTAGGCGAAAGGTAATGGTTAACGAGCTAGTCTGGTCGGCCATTGCAACTTGATAGTGTATTTGGTCCTCAATGGGTGCTCCATTACATGTGGCTTGTGTCAAACAGCAATAAGCTTCGGAAGTAACAAATAATGTAATTTGAGATCGAACAAACAGAAAATTCTCTGAAAAAAAATGACCTGGACTTTTTGGAAAGGGAAATTCGAATTTTAATGATTCTAAAAACTCGCTATGATCAGATTAAACGTTGCTGAACCTATAATGCCAAAGTTATAGGGGACAAATATCTAAATTGAGGCAACGCATGCACGTAATTTTACGTGATCAAAAAGTACCTGAACTGATGGTATAAAAAAGAAAACTACAACATATATCAATTCTATACTTAATCTCCTTCGAAGTAGCCCTCTTCTGAAGCCACAAACTTTATCCAGCGTCGTTTCCATTGGTGGAAACATTCCTGGAACTTCTTTTTGGGGGATAGCGAGCAGTTGCCTCGTCGCATTCACTTGGATTTCTTTGACGTCTTTAAAACTTGTTACATTCAAGAGGGATTTGCTTTTTGGGACGCGTAAAAAGTCACAAAGGTCGATATCTGGTGAATATAGTGGTTGTCGGACCTAGAGAATGTTGCGCCTGGCCAAAATCTTCTGCACAATCCATGGTCATTGACAGGATCTTTGTAGGGTTGAGAGACGACCACACTCTCCTTCAAAGCACTGCTATGAACAGGAAGTAGGGAAGTAAGCGACAGAGTTCAGAGTTCAATCTGTGCTAAGCGGCTTCACTCTGCATACTACTATAGTTCCCTTAGCATAGCAACAGTTCTGATACTTTTTGATTAGACCTCGTACACTGACGGCCATTAAAAAAGAATACACTTAATTAAATAAATGAACTTAAATGCCTGTTACCTGTATGAAAGAGTTAATTTATTAAAATTATCCTATTTATTAAAATCAATTTTAACATAAGAATCACAAGTTTAAATTATCAAATTAATATTAAATTATTTTATTTTTGTCTGGATTTTTGGCATGAGATCATTATTTACACTATTTATATTCAGACTATTCTTTGTTGCAGTTCACAACGTTTCGGCCGTTGTGCTCTCCGCGCTTCCTCAGGTGTATATCGATCTGAATTCTGAACTGAATCCTTTATTTAATCTACGGGGATAGACTGTTCTCATTCCACTGCACATGTCTAAGTATATCGACTACTTCTTATTTCTAGTACTGCTCAATTATTGCTGGCTAATTTACACTTTGAGTTCAATCCCTGGGCCGGGAAGTGTGTACGAAGAATTTCAAGACTACCATACAGAATTAAAATTTGAAAATTTAGAAAATATTTTTAAAATTAAAAGTTTCTAATTAACATTTTGCTCAAGAAATCGGCATTTAACTGTTATTTTCTAAAATTTATAAAATAAAATATGTTTTCCTGGCAGTTTAATTCTAAAATAATTTGAAATTAATAAGCGAGAAAATTTATATATTTTCCTCATAAACACTGTGTAGTGACTTGTTTTATTACCGTAAGATTAAGTGACTTGTTCACCATAGCAGGTTCAGTTTCGATTAAGACAGAGAACATAAAATAACAAAGTTGATATACTGTCGAAGCAAGCAGGCGACAAATCACGTCAAGTTATGTTGTCGAGTGTTGCTACTATATAATTCCACTTCGACCGCAACCGCACTTACTCGTGTTTCGATTGTATCGACTTCTCCTGCTGCTATCGTCAAGTCCCACCTGAAAAACCCACCACATTTTTTTTCTGAAAACCACAAACGCAGCTTATCCAGTTTTGCTTACAAATGTCTGCGATGAATCTTATCACTTGTTGTAAAAGAAAACATCTTCTGTGGGCTTTTTTTTTTTTTTTTTACTTCATTTTGACTAAATATTACGATCTGCGACCGGAAGCAAGTAGGAGATCCCATTTCCGGTTGTATCGGGTGCTTTGGGCAATGATCAGCGCCTAGTTCATCTACTGACGGATTTCGTATTCACCACCCTCTCAGTCTTTAAGTGGATTTTCATTGTCTCCTGATTCAGCTTTAATCAACATTAATCGTTAATTTCGTAACGTAACAAGGAAGCGTGTAATAAGATCAAAGTTAAGTAACAACTTGAGTGGCGACCGTTTATTGCGGATAAAGATTCCTGTGAAAACATCAAAGTAGTGAGCTAATGAATTTGGAATGGAATTAAAGGCAATTTTCTTTCCTGGAATTGATGATTTTTCGAAGAACAGTTGAATAAATGCAAAGAGGTTCTGTTCCAATTTTCAAGAATACAGTACTTAAGAACGTATCGTAACACTTTTTAAAAACATCTGTAAAAGATATATTTATATATGGAAGAAAATAATCACTAAAAATCATTAAGTTAAAATTCTTTTTCTGTTAAGAAACAGAGACAGTGAAAAAAAAAAGAAAGAAAGGAAAATTGAAAGAAGCAATTTTGTTTCTTTGGATATCCTCACCCCCATATCTAATTTTTGTACCCCCCCCCCGCTGCGTACAAGTGGCATTCTCGCCTTGCTTGGGGTATAATGATTAAAACAAAGAAAGAAAAAAGAATTTTATTTTTTTTTTTTTTTTTTTTTTTTTGACAACTAAAAGAAAAAAACTGCAGCTAAAGAAAGTGGTGACGAAAAATTCTTCATCATTATTATCACCATCATCATCACGATACAAAAAAAAATGGGGCCAGCACAAGAACGGTCCCGTTCGCCAAATGACTGTAAAAATCCTTAACAATAAAAAAACGTTATAGAATTAGAATGAAATGCTCAAAGAGGATTATTACCGTAACCGGCAATAATCCTCTTTGCCAACTTTGTTACAAAAGAAAAAGAAAAGGAGGAGTACTGGAGGGAGGGGGTGGTAGAAAAGAACTTATTTGATGACACACATTTATTGTATCAATGGCAGAAATACAAAAATATTTATATTCCTCATGCTTTGAAGGAAACAGCTGATTTTCGGAATGTAATATATATACATAAATACACACACGCACGCACGCACATATATATACATATATCGGTTGGAGCTATTTTCCAAAATCAGACAAAAAATTCAGTGCCTCTTACCCATTCTCTGTCTCTCTCTCTCTCTCTATATATATATATATATATACTCACACACACTGAGACAGAAACATATAGATTCATATGCACATACATAGATAGATATAAAGATTCAGATAGATAGAGATATATATTAACAGAATGAGATAGAGAGATATAGATATTAACAGAATGAGATAGATAAATTATTTAAGAGAATGAGATAGATATATATTAACAGAATGAGATAGATAGATATTAACAGAATTATAAATAGATAGATATTAACAGAATGTGATAGATAATTAGATATTAATAGAGTGACATAGATATCTACTTACATAGATAGATATTAATAGAATGTGATAGATAGATAATTACATAGATAGACAGATAGATATTAATAGAATGTGTTTAGACACCCGTGTTGATTTCTACATCCACACTATTTATATTGACAGATGCTCTGTTTCAGCTATTGAACATTCCTGCCACATAAATATAGCAATTTTTCAACAATATAATTATACATACATATATATATATATATATATATATATATATATATATATATATATATATATATATATATGCATAATGTAATATATAGTATTGATTTCTATGTTGTTTACCACCCACACACGCACGCCTATTGTTGCAGAGATTCCTTGATGCACTGAAAATATTTCATCTAAAAAAGGAAGTTGTCATTTTCGGCAAGTCATGTATTCTCGTATTAAAATCCATGTGAATTCTATTAGCTGAGGCAAGATGGATCAGCTCGGAGGCAAAACGAAAATATTTTCTTTCTTTCGTCTTTTCTTTTCTTCTTTTTTTTTCTCCCTTTTCTTTTTTTTTTTTTTTTTTTAGCTGGTTTTCTTTTTGGGGGGCGTTTACAAAAACAACTGAAACCAGTTCAGAAAAACAAGAAAAAAAAAAAAAAAAAAAATTGCAAAATATTTAAGTTTTTCGGATCTAAGCAATTGATGAAGTGTTTTTCG